GCTGGCTGAGTCAGAGACAGAGCTTCTCAGTGGGCCAGCCTGAAACGCCTGTCAGGTCCAAGGATAGACTGTTCTCACTAATTAGTAACCGTTGCCTCTCACCTTCTTGCTCTGGGTCCCTTCCCTCCCTGGCTCCACAACTGTCTACGAGCATTTGTAAGTGGTAAAGCACTGCGGTGCGAAGGTACGGTATTTCACAGCCATGTTTCTCAAAACTGCAGTGTGCGCTAACTCTTTAATCTACCCACTCACTCTTTAATCCCTTTCCACACTGCTGAAGCTTCACCAATCATACCCAACCTGACGGTGTTTTCTCAGTCAACATCAAGCCAGACCGTGGGTGACTCTTTTCCAGAGAGGTTTCCCATACCCTAGGGGTTGGTTCTGTTTCCAACACAATGAGGCTCTTGGGAACAAAATGTAAATCCTTTGGGCTAGTGCCATCTGGGCTAAGAATCCCTCAGAACACAATCCCATCAGTCAGCCAACTCCTGCAGCGACTCGAGCCCTTCCCACTCATCAGGGAATTCCTGGAGCTTGTTCTATTAGAAATGCAACCCAAGCGAACCTCACTATGATTCCCATCCTATCTTCTGTGGTCACTACTCAAAATATAAGCCTCTCTGACTATATTCCTTTTCCCTCCCATAAGCTCATCTCCATACTGCTCTGTGCTTCCTCTCATTTAACCCCAGCATCCATCGTTCTTTCCTCTCCCAAACCTTTCTACGGTTTAGTCTTCACTCCTCAATGCTGGCTTAAAAACTCCCTACATCCAGCCTCTGATGCATTTCCTTCTAGCTCTTTTCCTTAAATGGTACCTTGGGTTTGCTGCTTCCCTTTAGCATTCTGAAGTGGATGCTAGTTTTTCTACAACTAACTCATACCTTTGATCACTGCAAGGTGGAGTCAGCTGCCTCTCGACTCGCCAATACCACTTCAAAGCCATTACTTCTCCACCCTTAAGTCCCTGTTGCTTGGACTTTCTTGCTATCCAGCTACACCTTCCTCTACTCCTCTTTTCACTATCATCCACACAACTCCCCACCACTCTCCATCCTTCTCTCAAGACTCGGGCACCTGGATCGCAGCCGTTGCTTCCTTTCTATCCATGCCCATGTGAACAAGCTCCAGGGACCTGCTTTTCCAATCAACGTCAGCCCCTCACTCCCGCGGTAACACAGGAGGTCTTGCCATTATATGCAACTGTTTGTCCTCTCAAATGTGAAATCCGTGCCCGTATAAAATGGCTTCTGCGATGGTCACATCATTCATGGTTACCAATGGCTTTTGCTCTAGAGATTCAGTGGCTACCACTCGTTTCTTCTCTTTGCAGCATTTGGCATTGTTGACCATGTCTTCCTTCCTGAAGCTCTCTCCTGTTGGTACCACAATCTTTTAATTTTTCTCCTACCTCTCTGACCACTATTCTTTTTATAGGTTCCACTTCCTCTTCTGATCTCTAATATATTGATATTCTTAGGGCTCCATCCTAGACCTTCTTCTCTTATCTCTATACACACTTCCTTAGCCATCTTACCCACTGATTGCCTCAAATAACTGTATTCTGAAGATTTCAAAATCTTTATCTCCAACTCAGATCTCTTTCCTGAGCTTTATACCCACATAGTCTGAAGTTCAGTTAGACATTTCCTAATCACCTCTAACTCAGAATGTCCAAAACTTAGTTCATTATATCTCTCTAAAATCTACTTTCCCCCTTCATTTCTCTATCTCAGTGAATGGTACCATTATTCATCTAAATACTAAAAGCTAGAAAAATTATTGCTGATTCTTCTATCTCTTGTTAATTCTGGCTAAATAATTGATGACAAATATGTCCACTTTCCTCCACCATCATCTCACATCTGCACTGCTGTGGTCCTGACTAGCCTCACTGCCAAAGCTGGAACCCTAACAGACACCAGCATTTAGGGAATGACTAGAGGAGATGGGAGTATGGACTGGAAGTAGAAAAAACCAAGAAGAGAGTGGCATCAGGGGAACCATAACATTTCCTCCAAAAAGTACTGCCCCTTTTCCAATCTATTCACCACAGTGTCATCAGAGTGAGCTTTACAAGAAGAATTTATCACTTCCTTGTTTAAAATCATTTAGTGGTACCTCGTATGGAATAGCATGACATAGCTGAACCCTTCATGCTCTGGCTCCTACCTACCTCTCAAGTCTCATCTCTGACCATCTCCAACTCTGTTAATTCTAAATTCCACCCTTACTGAATTATCTTTAGTTCTTGGAATGTGCCATGCCTTCTCTGGCATCCCAGCATTTTCGCTGTTGCCTCTACTGTGGAGAGCTCATCCCTACTCCCACCTGCTTTGATTGGATAAATTCTTCCTTTCTGCCTCCAGATGCCCCTAATACAGCCCTCTATTTATTTTGTGTGTTCCTCACAAATGCACAAAGACCTTGCAGTCGAGTAGGATTTTCAGCTGTATTCTTGGTGTTTGTGACGCTCTCGACCATACGCTCCTTGGAAGTGTCTCTTCCCTTGACTTCCGCGAATGTGCATTTTCCTGGATCCTCTGCATTCCTAAAAACTGCTTTCCTTTGTCCCTTGCTGTCCTGTTCTTTTTCTCATCCTCTAAAGGCAAACTTTCTGTCACCAGTCATTCCACCTTTGCAGATTTGGATGTGCTTTCGGTGATCCACTCTCTCGTCTTTGACTATAAACTCTGTGGGCAGATTACCCTCAAATCTGCATCTCCAGCTCACACCTCTCTTCTTAGCACCAGTCTCCTCTTCAGCTGCCTGCTGCTCATTTCCCTTTGGCTATCCCAACTATGAGCTCCTCATGTCTAAGACAGAACTCTTCCTCTTCCTCTCCAAACCAACTTCTCCTATCTCTATTAATAGAGCTATAATTCTCCTGGTCGATCAAACTCAAAATCAGTTATGTCCAGCCTCATCTCCTCCTCATGCCCACTGAGTCACCATGTCCTGGATGAACTCTTTCTTGTTTCCATTTTTCACATCCCTTTCCATTCTTACCTTCACTACCATTTAGTCCTTATTACTACTTCCTCCTCCTCCTCTTCCTCCTCCTCCTCCTCCTCTTCCTCCTCCTCCTCCTCCTTCTTCTTTTTCTTCTTCTTCTTCCTCCTCAATACATAATTATTATTTGAATCATTACTCCTGAAGGATTAGGGACTAATGTGGAGAAAGGACCTAAACCAATTATTTTAACAAAGATGATGTGGTATAAAGAACTGTCTTTGAAAGATACAGAACTATGAGATAGCTGTTTTTCTTAAAGACCTTCACCTATTTCTAAATTTATGTTTATGTCTGTCTTGTTTCTTTTTTTCTTTCTTTCTTTTCTTCTTCTTCTCCTCCTCCTCCCCTCCCCCTCCCCCTTCCTCCTCCTCCTCCTCCTTCTTCTTTTTGCCTTATTACTTCCTACCTAGATCTTTGCTACTCAAAGTTTCATCCTCAATCAGCAGCATCTAGCACCTTGGATCGTGTTAGAAACAGAAGCTCAGGCCTCACCCCAGACTTACTAAGTCAGAACCCCAGGTCATTTGTCCGTTCATTGCACTTTGAGAAGCACTGGACTAGGCCATGTCAAACTCCTAACAGGAATCCCTGACTCCTTTTCCTCTCTTCAAGCCAACCCACAGACCACAGTTACATAAATTTCCTTCCAATCATGTCATTCTCTCTTCATTCAAACCTTTCTAATGACTCTACTGTCTAAGGAATAAAGTCCACATCTTGGAAAGTAAGACTCCTACCCAATCTATTTTCCCAGACTTATGTAACCCATTCCACCAATATATTCTATATTCCAGGGCAACAGGATGAGAAATGCAGTATGGCACTAGTGGAAAAGAATCTTAACCCCCAAAATCATATTTAACAATGGCAAAAGCTGGTTCTATACCCTCAGGCAAAATGTTTGTCCTCAAACCTTGGATTCTAATTCTGTGAAATGAGGAAGTTAGACCAGTCCAATGTTTTTAAAGTTTTTTTCGACTGCAATGACAGTAAGTCTGTCAAGTACTATGTAAGTGCCCAGTAGTCATATACATACATAGATATAAGTACAGTTTCAACTGGAACAAAAGTTGCACAAAATAATACTTATTCTTACTAAGCGTAATGCACCCTAATATTTTTTATTCTCTTTTCACTCGTTCTTTTTCATTTTTCAAAATGTTGGTTGCTAATCACCAAATTGACTTCATAATCTAGTAATCGGTCAGAACCTGAAGGCCGAAAACCACTGTGGGCCCTCTAACCCTAAAAATCCATGACCCTGGGGTCCTCTTCCTGGGATCCTATCCTCTACTTCCCTGCTCTGTACCTTGGTTGAAAATATCCCTTCTTCCTGTAACATCTTCCCTTATTCCAGCCTCTTGAAATACAATGCATTTTTAAAGTTCTGGCTTAACGAAGCCTCTTAAAATGAGAAGATATATTTTACTTCTTTGCACATCTACAATACTAGGTCTTATTTCTTACCTGGCATTATTCACACATGTCTTGGAATAATACTGGTGTATATTTCTTTCATCTTGACTTGTATACAAGTGTCTTGAGGACAGGAATTATGTCTTCTATGTCTTTTTGTCCTTCTAAGCATTTAGAACAATATCTGGGATGTAACAGTCACATAAGCCTGAAAATCTTTTTTTTTTCCAGTCATTTTTTCTTCAACTGTTCTTCTATTTAATCAGCACTGACTCTTCTGCTCTCTCCCTAGTTATCAGCAACTTGCCTATCTTCACTTCCTCTCCTCAGATTAGACCCAGTTTAGAAGCCGCTGATCATCATTTTAACCTCTCTTGACAATTTCCTCAATTCTCTTGCCCAACTGTCTTTCCCTCTCACATATCTGGCAAAACCCTAACTCTGAATCAATCCAGCTGTCTACTTTCTCTGCTCTTCAATTCAAATTGCTAAGCACTGCCATTTAAAAAAAAAAAAAAATCCCATGATTATGCAGATCATTTAATGGTTTTCTTACCAGAGTCTTTAATATACTAGTGAACCCTCTCAGTTTCCTTAGTTAGTTCTCTATCCCATTCTCCAATAGCTATTTTAAAATTCCTTTACTCTCCTCAACCCTGTGTCTTCAGACCTTTCCCCCTTGCCTCCAAGAGCAGATTAGGCCCCTTATTATGCGTTCGCATAATATTCCTATTATCATTACCTTTATCCCTTTGCTTCTCACTGGCTATTTAAGTCCACATATCTTACCGGGCTTTAAGCACATTGAAAACAAGAAACACAACTTATTCATTAGTGAAACCTCAAAACTTAATATAGTACTAAGTATTCAATAAATATTTCTTGAACGAATAAATAAATACATAAATATTAGTTAAACAAATGAGTACATGATATACAAACCTCATATGGTTAAGGGCCAATTGATTAATTGGTGTCAATAAAACCTTAGGGAGTAAAAAGTATGAAATACGAATGATTTCTGAAATTTATAACAGATGTAGAATTACAGCTAATTAAGAGTTTGTTATGATTTCTGTTATAATGACTGGAAAAATGAAAGTTGGTCCCATATATAATAGGATCTGATAGAACAGGCAAAAAAGGTAACTGATTAAGATCTAAAAAAGGTAGTTAGTTTGTTTGCTAATTCTAGTGGAGAACTATACATACAACACAAACTTTATCACAGACCACAGTAGTCTGCCACGAAGAAAGTATTTATTTTATGATGGCCTAGCTTCACTTTTTTCCTTTTAATGCAATTCTTTCTAATTGGTTTATACTTTTAAAGAGACGTTTACATGATGGCAATGACTGACAAGGTTAGGCTGCCCAGAAAATAGTTAAACATTGCTTTATATCATGAGGGGCAACTCTTTTTTTTTTCTTTTTTTTAACTTATCTCTAGAATATCAATGATGGCCATCTTCTTATTTAGCGTCCTGGGACTCGGCTTTGTGATGGCAGCCTGTTTAAAAAATTTCCTGCTGCGGACAAGCCAGAGGAGAGCCCTGACCCTCAAAGTACTCACCCTGACGTTGTGAGGATGAAGCCCTCCTGGGTGCTGAGACATGTACTGGGCCAGGTCTGTGTGCTACATGAAATGGTGGAGAAACTGATGTTAGTGGTGCTTGAACAGTATCCTAAAGCAGGCCATAGACGTGACTGTCACTGGTATTACGAAGTTCAGGATTTTTGAGAATAGGTGCAAAAGGCACATAACCAGGTTTTCTGAGATCCCACTGTTTAAGTCAAACTCAGTGTGTCTTTCTAACTCTTAGAAGGAAGGTTGTTACTCAGCACAAAGAGATCCTCAGTTTAAAATGACTGTCACTGAACACAATGACACAGAGATTTTTCGCTTTCCTTGAAGGCAAGCCAAGTACACATACTTTATGATTTATATCTGCTAATATTTAAATCATTTTTCCTTTCGAAAATACAAAAATGAGTTTTTCTTTAGTGAACTTGAATATAATTTTTTAAAACTTTGTGAGTTACGTCTTCGTTATCAATGATAAAAATGTTGAGTTCTGCTCAGATAGTGATTAAAAATAGATTTTAGAAAGTATAAAAGTTTTATCTAGGAGGCAGACTCAAAGTGCTTATTTATTATTGCTTGTGAGGGCAAAAAAGACAGCAAAGATAGTGGGTAAAAGAAGCAGGACTAAAGAATAAGCATAAGAACAATAGGCTCTGTTAATCACAATAATGAAAATTTCCATGGCGCTTTCCACATTGTAATGAAAGTTTTATCATGCCATAAAATATTAACAGATTCATTACACAAGCACCAGGCTTTTCTTCATGCTTTGTGAAATACTGGGGCAACTCACCATGTATTCAAAAACAAACGTCAGCGTCTCTTTGGTGTGGATTATGTCATGCAGCAGCACAATATTGGCGTGTTTCAAACCCTTCAAAAGAGAAGCTAGAAAAATTAAACAAAACGTTAATTCGATCATTGATAGTAAAAGTACACTGCTTTAAAGGTATCAAACGTTATTTATTTTTTAAACATTTAAAATCAAGCATTCTGGTTTTTTACTGCTGGAAAAAAAATCTCTCATGAAATAATGTTCAAAATTACAAAGGATCTTTATTTGTTATATGGCAAGTCCTTGTATTTGTATAAGTTATTTTTCTTATAGATGAGGGCAGTTGCAAAAAACATGTTTCCATTTACCCAATCAATTTCATCAAAGCACTCAGAGCACTTTGCAAACGCTTTCCTCTGGGAATCTTATCATCTCCGCTTCAGAGTTATAGGAGAGGAGGACCGGAGAGATAAAGGCCACGGGAGGAGCAGGAAATGGAAGGTTCTGCCTTCTAGAGCAGGACTTTGCAGCATGTCACCATTCTCTAAAATTCAAAGTCCCACAAGGGGTCAGCAGGGCCCAGGGATGTGATTGGTAGAAGGCAGGGATAAAGAGCATGCAATGAAGGATTGTTGAAGCGTAATAGGGAGTAGTGGGTGTTTCTTAAAGGAAGAATTGCAAACCTCTGTGGAAAAGAGAAAACACGAACTTGAAAAGAGGTCAGGGCCAAACTTGGGGTGTCTAGGGGAGTGAGAGTGGGTAGGGCTGAGGACTGTCTCTTACATCTTCAAAAGTAGATTATTATTAGGTCAGTAAAAGCAGCCTTAAAGGGGAGAAGTCTCCACAAAAGGCCAGGAATGGCCGGGAGGCAGTTTGAAAGGCTGTCTTTGGGGGCTCCAGAGTAAGAAGACCAGGAGGGTGGAGACCAGAAAAGGCACCATAAGGACATGATGAGTCTCAGCGCAGGGCATCACTGCATGAAGAGTGTCCTTAAGACTTAAAGGAAAGGAAAAATTAAGTATAATTTTAAGTATAATTTTGATAATTTGTGTATCATGAACCTTCTGCACCAACTCTCTTTTGGAAATCTGTAAAATTAAAAACAAACTCAAATATTCCCTTCAAATTTTGGAACAAAATTACTTCCTTCTTTAATCTTATGCGGTTGTAATGATCCTCTGTTGTTTTGCCCTCCTGGCAGCCATTCTCCCTTCTAGTGGGGACACCTCTATTTATCTTTGAGGAAACCCTCTCCATACTCAGTTCATGCTATTCAGGTGAAGCTGGCCCCATCCCTACCCAAGACCGGGCGTGTGACCCAGGCCTGTCCAATCAGAGAACAGCACCAGCCACAGAGATTGGTTCAGAGACAGGCTCAAAACCCACGCCTGGGAGAGCCTTGCTTTGCTGGTGTCATTAAGAAAAAAGTGCTTCCTTTTCCACTGTGAGGGCCAAGCTTGTAGAATTTAGCCAGGAGCTTCTCTGGCCAGATGGCCGATGCCTGGGAATAAAACTAAGGCAGAGAAAAGCAGTGTTGGGGATGGAGAGGCATGGATTCCTGGTGACATCATCTGTGCCCTGCTAGCCCATACTAGTAGCTGGTAGTTAACAGAACTGTGAGCCAGCAAATTTTCTCCTTTACTTAAGTTAGTTTGAACTGGGAACTTCTTACCATCCAAGGAGCCCGATTCTACCCATTAACCCTTGCTCTAATGACTTATGTTATTTTTCCTCCCCTGAATCCTTATGAGTTAAATCTATTATTTCACTTTTATAAGTACATTGCTTGGTAAATGTAGTAAACGGTTTCACAGGCATCTGTTTAATGTCCTTAGTCCCAGACTGAAGGCTACATGCAAATAGAGGGAGTGACTTTCCCTCTCCTTCAGATGCCGCCACGCCACTTAGGACAATGCTCGAGCAAGAGTAAGCACTTAATTTATCAAATATATTTATTGAGTGTCTTAACAGAGAGCTGACTGTAGAGCCAGAAGCCCTAATGTGAATCCTGGTCCTGTCACTTTCTATCCGAGTGAGTTCGAGAGAGTATCTCAACCCTAGTCTCAATTCGCTCCCTATGAAAAACAGGTAACACCTTTCCTGACTTGACTTCACAGAGTTGACATGAGGTTGGAATCCGATCCCTGGCAAATAGATCCCTGGCAAATGTCAAGCATCACACAGTTGCAAATTAGAATTAATATCCCTGCCATCAGGTACTTGCCTCTCCCCTTTATCTTGAACCCCAGTAAACTCCTATTCCCAAATTAAACTCTTAAAATTTTTGTTTTCTTATGCTAGGGTTTTCAACACCTTCTATATTTACAATGACTTCTGATCATCAGTTGAAAATGCTTGTGACTAATAACGCAAATATAAGTGAACAACAGATAACTAATAACGTAAATATAAGTGCGTTACTTGTATGTGTATTTTTATTTGTAAATTATGTTCATTTTCTCTCTCTCTACACAGAAATACACACACGCTACAAAAAAGTGCACCAAAATTAGATTTTAAAAGGACATGATAAAGCCGAAACTGCTGAGAATATTGTAAAGATGTTTAAATTTATTTTTAATACAAAATTTAATTTTACTTAACTATGATATTACTAAAACTCCTGATGTTTATTTTTAAAATCGTGGTGGCATGATATATTATTTATAATGGCTACATACTATCACTTGCTAAAGAGCTCAAGGAACAATATCCGCTTAGGATGAGGCTCATTGCTGACAACAGTGGGTATAAATTTTTATTTCGTATAGTTTTCTTCATAATTTCTTTGCTTAAAACCAGTTCAGTTTTGCCAGTTCTCTGTTGTTCACTTATATTTGCGTTATTAGTTTTACCCTTAATCACAATTTCATCGCAGAAACCTTTTTAAACGATTAATCCATTTGATGAGGATTCACCGCTCTAGGAAATGGCGACTCCTCTCAACTTCCTCCAATCCATCAGCAAATCTGTTGGCAATACCATCAAAACATGTCCAGCATCCTTCCCTTCTTGCCACCGCCTCTGCTAACATTCTGGGCCAAGCTATCATCATATCTTGGCTGAATTAACGCAAATACCTTCTAACTCGTCTCCCTGCTTCCTTCCTTTCTTCCTACAGTCTCTTCTCACAGAGCAGCCAGCCACTGTAATCCTTCTCAAAGGGAAGTCAGGGCTTGTCTCTCTCCTGGTTCCAAACCCTCCAGCAGTCTCTCATTGCACTAAGAATAAAATCCAAAGGGCTTACTATGGCCTGCTCAGCCTGCATCACCTCCCTGCTCTGCCCTTATCAACTCACACTCCCATCTTTGCTCACTTGGCTCTATTCATAGTAGCCTCCTTGCTCTTCCTTGGACACTTCCAAACACATTTCCTCCCTGGGACTTGCCTTTGCCTCTGCCTGCAACCTTCTTATCTCAGCTCTCTGCTCAAATGATACACGTTAAAGTCTTGGCTTCCCTGACCTCTCTTGATGACATAGCAGCCCTTAGCCCTGGCCCATCCCAGTGATCCTCTATCCATTGCCCTGCTTTGTTCTTCTTCATAGAACTTATCACCCCTGACATATAGCACTTATTACCCCTGACATATTATATATCTGTTTATTATCTATCTGTACCCTTAAGAATATAAACTCCATTAAGAGAAAGCACGTTTGTCTTTTTGCTTATTGCTATATCTTCAGTGTCTAGAACAACGTCTGCTATATTATAAACAATTAATAAATGTTTACTCTCAAATTAGTGGTCACTAATTGCCTAGTATCATTTCTATCCCTATAATTTGTTGGTATAGTATGTTTCTGATGAAGATGCTTTTATTTGTTGTTTCTTTTAGTTGTCTTCCTCATTAGATTATAAATGTTGCATGTGTTATAGCCATGTCTACTACTGCTTTTTTTAGCACTGCAGAAATACTGAAATACTTACATGGGACCTGTGACTTTTGATGACTAATAATGGGGAATTTACATGAAAAAGTAGATGATGTTTAAAGCATTTATCTCATGGTTTTGGTTTATTGTTTGGTCCATTCACCCGAGGGATCTAAAATGCCTGCAGCCTCACATGTGTGGGTCTCAAACCCAGGAAGGAAAGATCTTTCTTATAATTTCAAGGCTGCCTCATAAACTTCACAGCAGGACATGGTGTGTTCTGCAGGATAATCAGCTGAGGGATGCAAAAGCCAATGGAGAAAGGAAAGATCTTAAAATCAGAGCTTTCTGATTCCTGTAAAATTATTGTTTTTATAATTCACATAGGCTAAGTCTACTTTTTTTGGTTTCTCTTCAAATAAAAGACACAAAGATAAATTGGAGAGTCCTTAGAGCTCCAGACAAATGGAATCACAATGGAATTTCTTTGAGCGCTTCCAAAATACCTTTATAATGATAATGATAATGATGATGATGATAATAGCTAACACTCACTGAGTATTTATCACAAGCCAGGCATTGTTGTAAGACTGCTGTATATATTACTTTGGTATGATCATGAGAACACCCAGAAAAACCAAAGAGAAAATCCAAAGAAGAAAATAACATAATCTCAAAGATCAGGAAAAATGACCCACAGCTGAAAGATGGAGGCACCAAAGATGGAAATGGCCTGGATCTGTTAACCTAAAAATAAATGGCCGAAGTGAGACGGAACAAGCATTTATTTGAAATCTAACAGGAAGCATGAGGGAACATTGATTCAGACAGGAATCCAAATAGTGTTCAAATGAGGGAGTGAAGGGTTTTTATGAGAAAAGGAAGGGAACAATTTCATGAACAATTTCATTGGTGTTAATAAGTAAGGAAGGAATTTCTATAGGTGCAAATAAGCCAAGTTACTCTTTAGCTCTATATGGTGGTGCTAATTCTAAAGAACATTTTAAATTTTCTTTAAGTTATTAAGCTTGTTTTAAAAATGCAAAGTATTTCTTTCTTTATTATAAATGTCCAAAAGTGTGTTTAGTATGACCAACTGGTTGAACATTACATAGAATTTTATTTGATCCTCATATATGTAAGATATTTAACAATTTAGTTAAAAACTTATCGTTTTCATCTTGCAGTGATATGAGAATATTTAGTTTCTCAGTTTTGTTCATTTCATTGGGGTTTGTGGTTCAGTAAAGTTTTATGAAAATTGATGCTTTGCAAGTCCAATGGGTAACAGTTTTGATGTTACTCTATTCTGTTCTGCTTTAGGTTAGAAGGAAAAGTAAAAGATGATAGTGACCAGAAGGAACAAGGCTGACTCTTAAAGCCCTAAGACACGGCTAAACAGAGAGTCTGGTAGTCAAAGCCCTGAGCCGTGAGCTCCTCAAGGGCATGGATTGTCCTTGTCCCTGTCTTAGCCTCTCCAGCACCTAGCATAGGCCTGGCATGTGGTGCTCAGTAAGTGCTTGTGAATTAATGAAGACCAGACAGCTACAATGAGTTTATGTAAGAGTCAACAATAGAGCCAATTCCCACTCCCAACCCCCACTGGGCATTGAATTAAAAAGAGTTTGTAGTTCCTGATATCTCATTTTCTCTGGCCTGGGTGTCACAAATCAAGTCAATGAGTCCTGTTATGCATTCCAAGAAAAGAAATCGTCAAGGTAAATATTAATACAAATGTTAGACAAATAGTTATTATCTGATTTCTTTGGAATTATAATCTGATTGTATACCATCATCCTGACATTATTTTGTTTTATAAAAATGTAACTATGCAGAGGTAAATGTGCCATGTCCATAATGTAATTTGAATGCATTCTATGGAGACCTTCTTGTCATTCTGGCCTGCTGCAATCACTTTGTAATAACCAAAATCAGTGGTTCTAACTGGTATCCTCTACCTCCCTGTATGACCTGGGGAGGTTCCTTAACCTATTTTTGGCTCATTTTTCTCATATATGGACTGGGAATAATTACTTTGTAATGTTTTCTACTAAAGAATGATCTTAAAGGATTCTCGGCTAAAACTGTTTCTAATTAAACACTGCAATTACTGGTACTGTAATGTTGATAGAATCAGAATTGACGAATATACAATATTATATATAATTTTCTTTAAAATGTTTCTTCTGCATTTGTTTAACGTTTATACAAAATATATCATTAAAACAGATTTTTTAATTTTTACTGTTGTTAAAGGAGAAATGCTTGAGTTAAGGAGTTCTAAATTTATTGTAATAAAGTAGAAAGGGTTTTGCATAGAAGAGATTAGATTCTGCTACCTAACAACTCTGATCACTCGTTCTGAGATTTCAGACAAGTTACCTAACCTCTCTGAGGCTCAGATTCCTTCATCCCTACAACAGAAACAACACACTTTACCTTCGAGAGTTGAAGTAAGGGTTTAAAGAAATGAAAGAAATGATAATGTGGTGGGCGGGGGCGGGGGGAAGCAGGGAAGACTATGTCATATGCCTAGTCCTCAAAAAAGGTTAAACAAGCTCTTAACTGCTTCTTAAACAAGCTCTGCTAACAGGCTAAAATTCCTGGGTTTAACCCAAACATTTCTAATTTTATAGAAAGACTTTTTAAATGCACATTATTAGAATATTGATACACAGTTTAATAAAACTAGGGAATGTGTATTTATATAAAAACTTAAAATATTAGTCTATTCAAATAAGTGTTTTCTCCTTGTAAGAATAAACATTTAAAATATAATTCTAGAGCCAGTTATGGAAGATTTTCTAAGTTGCTATGAAGGTAGCTAATCTTTTTAACTAATAAAAACGTGAGGGTAGACAACATATCTATTGTGTGTTCTGCTCTGTATCTAGCAGTCCGCAGAGTGCCTGGTCATGGAGGTGCTCAATAATGCTTGTAGAATGAATGCACAGAGAGCGTAAGGACTTTTGAATCAGAGAGATTTGGTTTGAATTATAGCTACATATTAGAAGAAGATCTATCTTCAAAGGTTGTTAAGATTAAAAGAGGTAACACATGAAAATTATCTGGCACGGGTATCAAGATATGTTTTCCTTAGTGCTTGTTCATGCTTTCACTAATTTTATAACATTACATGTTAAGATCGAATGGTGTTTCAGTGACCAGATTAATAAGCTGCCACATGTATTCCACTTACATGGCGACAGACTGTACATGTAGTAAAACTCTACTCAATAAAGTGTTGGCTGGTATAGTCAGTGCAGCCAAACTGTTCAGGGAAAGTAATTCCTGCTTCAAGGCTTTTAAAAGACATCTGCATTACTCGTTCAGTTTTTCTGCATGTGGCTTTCAGTTGCCTTTTTAGCTAGTGACCCTGTATTTTAACTAATGAATTCCAGCTGTTCTTATTTTGCTTTCCAGCCCTTCTTGTTTAACCTCCTGTCTCCCTAGTCTCACATCCTTAAAATTCTTACAGGAAAAATGGGACGGTGCCAAAGTTTTCAAATGAGGTCTCATATCTCATTGAGGGGAGAGGGCGTTCTAACAAGAGCCTTCAGCTTTTACACTGGTGGAAAAAGAAACATTCGTTGTTGGAAATTAGATGCCTTAACAACCTCCAATGTGTCAAAAATCCTTTTCTGGTTTTTAATATTATACAAGCAAAGCATTCAGTAAGGTAAGTCTATAAAGTCAATCAAAAAAGTCCACGGTTGAATATTAAATGTAATTCCAAACACCTGCAATGGAGAGGCAATTCCTCAGTAAATATGCAATAAAAGAAACATTTAGCATACGGAACAATACAGACCCAGCTTTTCTGAACCATGCTGAGAACCATCTGTTAGCAAAACCAGCAAAAGGTTTTGTCAAATGTCAATCTAAAAAACTTGGCTGTGGGCAAAATCCGAACGAGGCGAGCTTGACGCAATGGATAAGCTCAAGTGCATGAAGGAAACACCAGACGAATGGGCGAAACTGGGCCTAGAGACTCTCCCTGTGCTAGTGACCTAGGGACTTTTATTATGCTCAGAAATACTCCTTAACCTATCTCACATCTCTTTCTAAATCTGATCATTCTTTTATGGAGATCACTAAAAAGCGCATTAGTAAATGCAACTTCCATTATATTAAACACTTAAAACCAAGCTTTTCCTCCAGGAGGCACCTGATCCTATCAGGCTGAATCTCTGACTAACCCGATAGCAATTTGACCTTTCTACTTAAATTCAAAATAACACAATTCCCAGGGGCTCCAAAAGACTTTTGAAAATGGCATCAAATTCAGTTATGAACTCATTTTCTGAATTGCTTTTTCCATGCCTGTTTGCATAATCCATCCTTCCAAGCTCCACTCAAAATCTACTGACTCCATTAGCCACGCTGACACTAACTGGTTCTCATCGTAGTTTATGTGTTTTTTTGCCTCCATTATAACACTGGCTGTAACTGGAACCATCTGCTCTGTTACTTTTGAAAATGCTATAGAGCAAAGATCAGGCTTTTTCTTCTCATCCATCACAACACCCGGCAATATACTTTGCATACAAGATGTCTTCATGAAGAAGGGAAGATGAAGTCGTTAGCCGGGGAGAAAGTTAGGCCCAGGAATTGCCATTTCTCTGGGTTTTTGCTGAAATAAATGGCAATCCTATTACCATTTTATTTCAAATGGCTCATATAAAAAAGTTAATAAATTGCATTTTTAATTATTTTTTCACTACATGGGCCTCTTGATTTTTACATATTATAAATTATTGGTTATCTCGATGGTGACCAAGAGATCGCTAAGGGAAAGGAATAAGAATGGAATAGTAATAGTCAGCATTTCTAGAATTCTGAAAATGGATTCTGTGATTAGTACTTTAAATACATATTCTCATTTAATCCTCATAATAACTCAAAGAAATAGATACTATTATTATCCTCTTTCTGCAATAAACTGAATCTTAAATAGGCCATCTACCCTCAGTCATGGCACTAGTAATCAGCAGATCTAAGATTCAAACTCAAGTCCATCCGACACCAGATTCCTCACCAACTTGCTATACTGCCCAAGTTATAGAGAAAATACAGGGGCAACACTAAAAACACATGCCTTCCCAAAGAGCTTTTCAAATGCTACTTAAACAAACACACTATTTTCAAGTAAATTGCTTACTCAGAATTTGTGTGATTATATTATTTATCTTATCTTTTATATGGCTTTTTCTAGAGTTATATAGAGATAGCCTTAGCATTTAGCATGGGACCAAACACACAGAAGGTACTTAGTAAACAGTCATTGAGTTCATAGTCTTGGTCAACTAATATAATAGTTTTGAGTCTTAATTTCTTCAAGAATAAATAATAAAATGATAATGTAAATGAACCTGAAAGACTGGTATGAAGAATGAAATTACAATTATAATATTTCTTCTAGGAATATCAAAAGCTAGATGCCAAATATATAGACTCACACAGAAGGTACTTAGTAAACAGTCATTGAGTTCATAGTCTTGGTCAACTAATATAATAGTTTTGAGTCTTAATTTCTTCAAGAATAAATAATAAAATGATAATGTAAATGAACCTGAAAGACTGGTATGAAGAATGAAATTACAATTATAATATTTCTTCTAGGAATATCAAAAGCTAGATGCCAAATATATAGACTCAATGTATTTTTTTTTTTTTTTTCAAATCAAAGACTTAAAACAGATTTGTTGGGTCCATTTTACTGTTCCTACCTTCCCGGATAGCTGTAAAGGGGACTCCCTCTTCTTCATTCATGCTGATGACTTTTAAAGCCACAAGTTGTCTGTTTATCCTGGAAGAATGGGGGGAAAGTGCACACTTTCAGATAATTCAGAGCAGCAATTTATACTAAGGATAGCTTGACAAAAGCAATTTTTCCTCAAAATATATTTCAGCGACAAAAGTTTTGGCGTATGTATGTATGTGTGTATATATATACACATAACTTTTTTCTTTACCAAAATGATATCTGTTCATTATTACAAATTTGGAGAATACAGAAAAGCAGAGAATTCTCCCCAAACCAACCAAATCCATCCTCATAATATTTTGATATATGTTATTCCTTTCATTTCCCTTTGCACACTTACTTGAGCCATCAAAGTTTTGGCGTATGTATGTATGTGTGTATATATATACACATAACTTTTTTCTTTACCAAAATGATATCTGTTCATTATTACAAATTTGGAGAATACAGAAAAGCAGAGAATTCTCCCCAAACCAACCAAATCCATCCTCATAATATTTTGATATATGTTATTCCTTTCATTTCCCTTTGCACACTTACTTGAGCCATCTTTATTTTTCAGCTGAATTATCGTGGTGACCTCCTAACGGTCTCCCTGCTTGTACATTTGTACCCCTACTGTCTCCTCTTTACAGAGTAGCCTGGGACATCTTTTTAAGTGAAAGTCAAAACAAGTCACTTCGCTGCTTAAAACACACCACTATCTCCACATTTCACGTTGAATAAAAGCCAAATTTTGTGGCCTTCTAGGTGCTACAGCCGGGCCCAGTCCCACAGTTATCTCTCTTCATCTCCTCCTACTCCCCACTTATTCATTGTTTCATTCGCTAATGTAAGTGACAGAGAACAGAGAAGATTTTAATGCAAACATTAATCTATTATTTTAGTACAGTGAGATTCACGTCATATTATACCATTTATTAGTAACCTGTTTTCCCTCCATCTAACTTTTTCTCTTATTCATCCTTGTATTATGTGACATTTAATGATGACAAAATATTTTATTACACAAATATACTGCAATGTATTTAGCCAATTCCAAATGCTTTTAAAATGTTTTCTAACTTTTGACTATTATAAAAATACAGTGATGATCGTATTTGTAGATCAGTCCTTCCACATAGCCCCTATAATTTTCTAAGGGTAGAAGTACAGTTGCTAAACCAAAGAGCATACTGTGCATGTTTTTATTGTTTTCAATGCATATTTCTAAACTGTGCCACAGAGTGGTCACACCCCTAGCTAGTCATGAAGGTGGCGATTCCAGTGCTCCATTACCAGCCCTGGGCAGAGTTGTTTTCGTTTTTACTTTTTGATTTCATTTTTTAGCACAGTTTTAGATTTACAGAAAAATTGAGATCATAGTACAGAGTTCCTATGTACCTCACAACCAATTTCTCCTATGTTAACATCTTGTATTAGTATGGCACATTTGTTGCAATTAATGAACCAATATTGATACATTATTACTAACTAAAGCCTACAATTTATTAGAAGTCTAGGTTTTTTTTGTGTGTGTGGTAAAATTGTGTTGTTTATGTGGGTTGCGTCAAAAATTGGTAAAATTTAGGGGGGATACAACATGATAATGTATAGGAAAAGCCATAAAAGTACCATACTAATGAATTTTTCTCAATAAACTTATTTAATAAAAATTTAAAAAATTCCAAATGGATGAAAGATATCCTCTACTGTGTTAGTTATAATAGAAACAGATAGAAATAGTTTAAATGTCCAAAACTAGCGGAACAGTTTAAAAATTTGTAGTATATCAATACAATGGAATATTTTGCATTCATAACAAAAGCTTAAGTCCAGAGATATGTACACAAAAAAACAGGGAAAGATTTGTGATAAAATGAACAACAGGATACAAAACAGCAAGCACATCATTTTTGCAACTTTAAGTATAGTTGACCTTGAACAAGGTGGGTGTTAGGGGCACCAACCCCCTGCACAGCCAAAAATCCTCATACAACTTTTGACTTCCCCAAAACTTCACTAGTAGCCTGCTGTTGATAGAAGCCTTACCAACAACAGAAACAGTTGATTGACAGATATCTTATATGTCATATGTATTACATGCTGTATTCTGACAATAAATTAAGCTAGAGAAAAGAAAATGTTATTAAGAAAATCATAAGGAAAATACATTTACAGTATTTATTGAAAAAAATTCATGTATAAGTGGATCCATGTTGTTCAAGGGTCAATTTTAATCTGTGTAGATGTGGAAAACAAAATGCACATGTGCAATTGCTGTACTAAAGTGATAGATTATGGATGATTTTTAAGTTTTAAAATTAATTTGCTGTTGTATATTACCTTTTATTTTTATTATTTTTAAAATACAATGGAATATTTTGCATTCATAACAAAAGCTTAAGTCCAGAGATATGTACACAAAAAACAGGGAAAGATTTGTGATAAGTTTATTATGGCTTTTTAAATTTTATTTCAAAATATTTTCTTACAGTAACTATTCTTTTTATCTCTTCTGAAGTGGATATCAGTAGGAATGTATAAATTTATGAAATCTATCAACTTGTCTCAGCCTTTTTAAAATTGAGATATAGACATATAACATTGTGTAAGTTAAAGGTGTAGGATGCATTGATCTGACATATTTATATATTGCAATTTGATTACCAGGATTCCTTTCGTTTTTACCTAATATCTTTTATTTGTGCCAGGATCCCATCCAGAATACCACATTTACATTTAGTTGTCGTGTCTCTTTAGGCTCCTCTTGGCTGTGACAATTTTCCAGCCTTTCTTTGGTTTTGATGAACTTGACAAGTCTGGGGAGTACTGGTGAAGAATTTTGTAGGATATCTCTCCATTGGAATTTTTTCTGTTGTCTTTCTTATGACTAGACTGGGGCTATGGGTTTTGAGAAGGTAAAGTACCATTTTCATCACACCATATTAAGGGTATGTACTATCATCATGATTTATGACTTTTGAGTTGGCCTTAATCACTTAACTGAGGTAGTGTTTGCCAGGCTTCTTCACTGTAATTATCCTCCCCTCACTTCCACACTGTACTTATGAAGAATATCACCGTGAATAGCCCACACTTAAGGAATGGGGAGTTACGCTCCACTTCCTCGAGGGTGTGTTATCTACATAAATTATTTGGAATTCTGCATGGGAAATTTGTCTCTTCTCTACCATTTATTAATTTTTGAACCATTTATTTTTATTAGTACAAACTCATAGATATGTATTTTATACTTTAGGTTACAATCCCAAACTATAATAGTTTATTTATTTTGTTGCTCTTTTTTTTTTCAGCTTTGTCATTTGGGAGCTCTTTCAGTTGGCTCCTATGTTCTTTGAGAAATGCCCATAACTGTGAAGATTGTTTTCTGGAGCATGCTTTTATCTTCATTTTGGGGGGACCTATTTATAGGTTAAAAGGAATGATCACATTTTAATTTATATTTCTTTAACTACTTATGGAACTGAATTTTCATAAACATATTGGTCTTTTCTGCTTTTTTGGGATTTGCTTATTTGCCTACCTTTTTATTGAAATAGTTTTACATATACTTCTCACCAACTTTTTTTGTTTACCGTACCATGTCTTTGAAATTTTGAACTTTGAAATATTTATGATGTTTAGTATTTTCTGCAACGTTTTACTCCGAGCATAGCTCTGTGAAATTCTCCCCACACTTCCAGAAAGGTTTTTTGGTCAAGTATTTTAGGAAATGCTTTACACTTTCAAAATGTTCTCATTCTTTCTTCGATAGTCCTGGCATACATTAACATTTTAAAGATGCTGAAAGCATCTATAATAAAAGATCACATTTGATTTTGTTCTAGGGTTCCCTGTGTCAATTTGACAACGATAACTGTTTCAGTGAAAACTCTGTTAAAGTGTCAGAATTGGGTCTCCCTAGAACATATTTGGATAGATGGGGCACCACGCACACTTCCAATCTTCTGTTGTGGGTTCTGACATAAGTGTTATGTATAGACAGACCTTTCCAGCCCAAAGGTTACAAAGAATTCTCTTATCTATTCATCTCGTCTTTAAATTCCTTTTTTTATTTAACTCTTTAATTTACTAGGCATTTATATTGTATATTTACCTTTTTCAAATTGCTAACAATTGTCTCAGCTCCATTTATTGGACTGTCTTCTTGTCTCTGCTGATTTGACTGACATGTCACCATGACTGTATATTAGACCTTATTAATATTCGGATTTGTGACTTTCTGGACTTTTTAAACTTTGATCTGTCTTATACTCGTACTATAACATTTTAATTATTGTAGCTTTTTAACACATTTATAATACATTAAGACTATAAATTAGGGAATGATTGACATCTTTGCACGATTAGATTTTCTAATCCAAACATCCTTACAACAATCCCTGGAATGGTCTACAAGACCATACACAACTGCCCCACCACAACCAGCAGCTGCAACTGCTCCCCGTCCTCATCTCCTTCCACTTTCCTCTTCCAGGGCGAGGCCTGCCTCTGCCTCTGGGATTTCTTACTTGCTGTTCCCTCTGCCTGAAGCTCTCTTCCACTGCACATACATGCAGCTCACACTTCTCCTTTGTCAGAGTCTCTGTTCAAGTGTTCTCTTCTCAGTGAGACCTCCTCTCATCGCTCTATTTAAAAGAGTAACCCACCACCCCACTCTGGCACTCCGCATCCCTCTTCCCTGTTTAATTCTTTTCCAAAGCACTTTTCACTCTTTGACAAACTCAATATTTTACTAATTTGTTTATTGCTTATCTCACCCCCGCTAGCATGTACACTCCATAAGAGCAGGGATTTTTGTCTCTTGTTCTCCTATGAATCCTTATTGGCTAAAATAGTGCCAGGCACATAGCAGATGCTTAACAAATATTAGTAGACTAAATGAAAACCTGTCTAAAAATAAAATGAATGCCTGTCTTGCTCTTTCTTCAAGTCTTTTACATCCCTTAGTAAATCTTTATATGAATTCTGCCCATTTATTGATGCTAATGATTTTTGTTGTTGCTATTATGACAGTAACTTCCCCTACTATATTTTCTATTAAATGGTTATTGTTAATACACGAGACGACTTTTGATAAATATATTTTTATTTTGTAACTGATCACCTTATTGTTCTATCGTACTATTTTTAATTGTTTTTTAGATGATTCTCTTTAGTTTTTTAGATAAAAAATTTTATAATCCACAAAAATGATATTCGTTCTTTCTTTCTCCTCAATTGCGTTGGCTAGAACATTAGTGATAATCTTTTAATTAAATAATAATGGGCATTCTTGCTCTATTTCTAACTTAAGGGTAATGTCTCTAATATTTAACAGCAATAATAAAAAAAAGTATTGTGGCTATTGATTTGAAATATTTTATATCATAACATTTTTTTTTCCGAATGAGATCAGAGGGTGCACATTGTTCTATAACTTGCTTTTTTGTTCTCTTAAAATATTGGATGTCTTTTTCTATTAGTAAATCTATCTCATACTTTAGATGGCTGCATACTTTTTCTTTGTATGGTGATTATTTAGCCAGTCTTCCATTAATGGATTTTTGTGACCAGGTTTTTACTTTTTCTTTTATAAATCTTGCTGCATTGAATATACTTTTACATATATCCCTGTGCCCTTGGACAAGTATTTCTAATGTATTTTTTATCCTATTACTAGGCTGAGTCCCTTGAAGGAAATCTTTTATATTCTCAGTTCCTAAGATAGTATATGGAAGTGTATCAAACCCTGTTTCTACATAATTATTTCTAAAATAATATTTCTCCTAAATCTTGTTTTAACAAAGAAAAATAACATAAGAACTAAGATAAATGATAAATATTTGGTTTTGTAGTATTTATAACAAAAATTTAAAACTATCATTTAATCACTATTGAGTCATTATTTTTTGACATCGTAATAACATAAAGAAATCAGAACTCCGACTTTCCCACCCTGACTGTAAAGCAGTGGAATTCATGGATCTTTTATATATGTTTAACAAAATTTGTTATTAGCCAAAATGGGCACATTTCTTCCGGATTGGCAGTATTTTTATTCTCCAGACATTTTGTGTATTTTGCAAGTGTAGAAAACCCAGGATTAATCATTTTTTGCATATACCGTTATTTGTAGAAACCAATTTCAGTTTCTTCTATGAAGGCAAAGTGGAAGAATGCAGGAGCAAACTTAAGGCTGCCATTGCAAACCTCTGCCATAGTGTTTTAGGGAGGGACATGAAAAACCCTTTAGAGACACCTTACCAACTAACTACGCTTCCAACCAAGTGAGGAGCAGTCATTGTTCTTGGGTTCAGTAGTAAAGAAAGTCCACTTTGAATTAAATAAAAGAGAAGAAAAGCTAATAAACATCTTAGTGGGCTGTTTTTAATTGGGGTAAGGAAGTTTGTTTTTCTTTCAAGATTATTTAAATCATTGTGTCTCTCCCTACTGACTCTGGTGTCTTGCACAGGTCCTAAACTTCTGCCATGTGTGATCTGGCTTTACAATGTCATATGGGGGCGGGTGGGGGGGCGGGGAGCCTCATCTCTAAAGTCTCTCCCAGCTATGAGTCACTCACCTGCTAATCCCTTTGTAAACTGTAGCATAAGAACCTTCACCCAGTTTCTCCAAGTTCAAGTAAGATGAAGCTGCTCCAAAAGGGAGGCTCTTTCTCTGCTAAAGGGGAATGGGGAGGGGTGAGAGATGGGAAAGAAAAAGCACTTTTTTTAATGTTGATTTTTTTTTCCAGAGAAATTTGCCAGAGTGTACTTGGGAAGGTCTGCTTAGTAATCAATCACCCTCGAAATAGGGCCAGCTCCCTAGTCAAGCACACATTAAATTCTTCTTGATCAACATCAGCTGCTCACTCACCCACTGAAAACCTTGCTTCAGATCCCCTTCCTGAAAAGAATCACTGTTACTCCGTGGCCTTTTACTCTTGAACTTCCGGTCACGGACAGCCTGAAGTCCCCTGGGGTGAAATGAAGTCATGGAACATGATGCTTCTTTTAGGTCTGTTAGCTAAAGAAAAAAGAAAATGCAGCAATAAAATTTATGCAAAGTCAAGACTCAGCGGCTGGCATAAACTATTTTTTATTCGTCTAATTTTCACTCTTCGAATGTTTTCTAATCGTCCTACACCCCCAAAAGGCACCTCTCCTGAAAGTTAGATTTCTAAAAACACCCAGAAATGTATCAATTGCTGAAACATTACATTCTTTCTTCATTTGAAAATATGACTTTAACACTCAGGTTAACCTAAATTTCTCTGATGGATGGTTTCCAATTTCTCTCTGCTTAACTCAAACTTTTTTTCACATCCCCTTCATTTATCTTTAAGGAAACAATTTCCTAGTACAACATTGCTAATAACCACGAGCTAATTACTGAAATTTTGAATCCACAGCATACTAATACTGCAGCTTGATTTTTGAGGCTCAGCTCTGTAGTTTCATACTGCAGAGATTTCAAGAGCATAGCTCCTTTCTCAACTACAAGCCAAGTGAGTTTCATGCAGCCCAAAGCATAAGATTATTTTTCCCTCTTAGTTTACAAGCAAATCCCCAAGTTCGATGACAACAGCCATAAATTCCCTGTGACTTTAATAGAATTTTCTTTTTATTGGTTTAGACCTACCGCAGAAAACTCAGACCCTGCTACAGAGAGGGAGTCTGAACTACTTGGTTTATCAAGAGAGAAAGATGCTCTCCTGGGATACGGATACCTCGATCGCAGACTCCATCGTCACAGGCGCACTCCTCTGACAGCTGTGTGCATCGCTTCCCTCCCAACAGCCATGGCAGCTGCATCCAGGCTGGAGAATCTTTGCACACAGCTCTTGACCCATAATCTTCCAGGCTTAAGGAGAAAACTCGCACTTGAGCCTCTCCCCCCCGCCTCTCCTGTCCTTGTTCACTCTCTTTTTGCCAGAGGTCAGCGATGCTGGAGCTTTCATATGACTCGCATGAGAGTTCTGCCTGGAGCAGCCTCATGACTTCAGCAATTTTTCCTCATCAGTGCAAGAAACCATACATTGGAAAGGCGGCTGCCTGCACTCATATGTACACAACTAAACACAGGAGAGCTAATATTGGATAGAATTAAACTTGGCACAATTAAGGTTCTTAATTCAGCCACAAGTTAGTTCTATTGGTATACATACATTTTTATGCTTATCCATGTAAATGATATTTATTAAGCTTCCCTGGTGCTAAAGTGGACATGTTGAGAACTATTTTCTTCCTGCCTTTCATCTGAGAACATTTTGCTTTTCAGATTTTTAAATATATTTACAACCTAGCCAACTCTTAGTAGGCAAAGAAACCACAGAACAGGAAGAAAGCTGAAGATATGTCTCTTAGTCTCCAAGCAATAGTGTATCCAATAATCCCAGAGGGCTAGTCGTTCATTCACTGATTCAAAAACTATCTAATGAGCACCTATGTTATTCTTACTATACAGATAATTGTTACTCAATGGTGGAGAAAGAGGAGTTTGCATGAAAATCTTCTTTCCTCTCTCCTTCCCTCTCCCCTGCTTCCTTCTTTCCACATAGATGTAATAAATGTTTACTATATTAATATAGTGACATGTCAAGTATTTACCTAGCTTAAGCTAGTCTGTATTCTTTGAACAAAACTTTTTTCTCTCTCATAGACTCCTAAGGTTGGTTATTGCCACTATAAGGTATTAATCTGAGTAGACAGAATGTAGGATACATCCACCTCCCAACCCCCCCACACACAAAATCATTATCATTAAGGGAATAGATAAGCCATGTCTATTATCACAATAATATTTATGCATGTTGGTTTGATATCTGAAACTCACAATGCTTTAAAAAAAACCTTTCAGATAACTTAATTATGAGCACATATTGAATTTTTATTTAAAAATTGCCACAAGAAAAGAGACCTAGAACAGGGCGATTCAAAGATTCACCCAAATTAGAGATATTAAGTAAAAAAAAAAAAAAAAAAAGTGACTACTTACATTAATACAAAAAAAGAATATTTGGTTAAAGACTATTAATAGCTTTTGACTGACAATCAACAGAGAGTAAGAGAAGTTAGATTCTCAGACTATTGCTTAATTTCATTAGAATTTATCATAATTAGATTTTATTTGATCAGATGCTCATTTCTTTCTAAAAGGAGATTGCTAATTTCATCATACAAAAGTTATATCCCAGACTGGGTTTGAGACAGTTTTTTATTATCACCCTATAATTATCATAACTTTTAAAATTTTTCAATGATTAGCATTTTTATTGGCCTAAGTCACAAGTCGATGAAATAGAATAGCCTGATTTTTTAAAAGATTTAAATGCTATGTTTAGATACTAGAATGGGCTACAGAGGGAAATTGTGAAAGATTCTTCAGAATTTCCAAAAATAAAATAATTTATGGTCTTGTTTGAAGTCAATGAAAAGTAGTAAACGAGTTCTTAAGACGTTTTCTAGCTTTGTGTCTAAAATAACTTTTGTTACCAAAGGTTTCTGAATAAGGACAGAAGACTTAGATGACTTCATTTTGAATTGTGAATCAGACCCAGTCTATGTTCTGTTTCAGGCTGGCCCAACCCACCTCAGAGGCCTGGTCTGCTTCTTAGTGGGGGAAGCCCACGATGTTGTTTTGAAGCAGGGTTACTGCTGCTGATACCTGCTGCTGTCATAGACCAAAGAGTCCCCACACAAGAAGCTGATGACTAAGAGACACCCCCTCATATCTGGTTACCAACCTGAATGGGCAAACAGAGGCTCTGCCTTCCCCAGTAACTTCCTGCAAGGGCCAGGTGACACAATAGAGAAATGCAGGTGGTCCCCTGGAGGGCACTTCCATTATGAAACCAGCAATGTTTGTTGTGGAGCTGAAGCCAGCTCAGAAACATGCTCCATTTATTTGTTCTCTCTCTTTCTCTACTTTACTCCCCCTTTCCCCTCATTTCTACTTCCCTGAGATTGCACATGACCCCTCCCCCTCAAAATTAAGTGTTAGCATATAAGCTTTTGTTTGAGGCTCTGTTTCCAGGGGACCTGTGTCAAGACAAATGGTAGCCATTTTTTAATTAGCAGTAAAATTATATGTTATTGATAATTCCAGGCTAACTTCTTCTACCCTACACTTTTGGAGTCCTTTTTTTCTTTCTCAATTGGTGTGTACTCAAACTATAATGTTTAACTGAGGGTTTGCACTTTTCCAAAATTTACATTCTGTCTTTATTTAATTTAGCAGATTATTAGGAATTATGGTTAATTATAACCTTTCCAGAATATGTAGATTATCACAAGCATTTAACAGATAATAACATGAGAAATAATGTGATGTTTGTGTCAGAAACATTAAAAATAATCCATATACATCCACACAATAGAGTATAGCTCTTAAAAAAAAAGATCTATATATGACTTGCAGTGATCATCAAAATATACTGTTAAGGGGGAAAAAAGTAAAATGCTTTTGTGTGTTACTTTTTGTGGCAAAGAAAGGGGAAATTCCCTATTATTTGCATAAGCAATCTTTAATGCAATAATAGATCTAAGTAAAACAATCATCAGCCTATGCTAAAATCATTAGGTAAAAGATTGATAAGGAGCTTTGCAATGAAGGCTCAGGTGGACGCCACCTGAGCCCACCGATCAATCTTAGCTCCACTAAATTTGGGACATCCAAACATTACGTGCCTCCTGATGTGGTACAACAGAAAGGGCACAGCACCACCTGTGATATATTTTTTGACTAAAAAGAAATTTAATCTGAATCTAATCAAGTGTCTAGATCTAAAACCAAGTTATAAAAAAGTACAGAGAACAGAGAAGTTAAATAACACCACAAGGAAGCAAATGGCCAAATCAGAAAGGACAAATAACCTGATTTCTCTAACAAATCAATGGTACAAAAAAAAAAAGAGGGAGAGAGAATTCAATAGTCTTAAGAGACACAACAAGTGCAGTGTGTTTGAATCCTGATTTAAACAAATCAACCGTAAATAGACATCTTCCCTCCTTCCTCAGCTTTATTAAGGTATAATGGATAAGTAAAATTTTATATATTTAAAGTATACATTGTGAAATGTTTATCACAATCTAACATTTCTATCCCTTTACATAGTTAACTTTTTTGTGTGTGAGAATAATTAGGATCTATTCTCTTAGCAAATTTCAACTATACAATACAGTATTGTTAACTATAGTCACCATGCTATACATTAGCACTCCAGAATTTATTCATCCTGCATATCTGAATTTATATATATGTACCTTTGACCAACATTTCCCCATTTCCCCTGCCCCCTAATCCCTGGTAACCACTATAAAAGGAGATTTCTGAGACAAATATGGAAATTTAAATCTGGTATTAGATGACCTTAAGAATTTATTTTTAATTTTGCATGGTTATTATGTTTTTAAAACAATCCTACAGTTAAAGATGCATACTAAAGTATTTATAGGTGGAAGGACATAATTTCCTTGCTTTAAAATATTCCAGAAAAATAATGTTGGGAATAAAAAAAAAAATTGGTAAAAATGTTGATGTCTAAACTAGGTGATGGCCATGTGGACGTTCATTTTTGTGTGTTTAAGAATTTTCAAAATATGAAAATAGAAAAAGAACAATAGTCTTAAAAACACATTCACATGAAATCCACACATTTCGATTATTTATTTACTTTCTTATATCCCTGCCTACTTCCAATGGGGTGGGGGGAGGCAGGGGTGTGAGGCTTTAGATAAGCATACCATAGTGATAATAATAATACAATAATAATAATTTATAAGAACAGCTTGCTCTGTGCCAGACGCTGTGCTGATCCTCCAACTCTATGACAATGAGTAGGCACCATTATTATCCCTTTATCATGAGGGTACTAAGTCTTAGAAAATTTAAATAATGTTCCCAAGGTTACTAAATTAGCAAATAGTAGAAAATACTTATTTTTTGGTTATCCTGGAAATAGGGAGTCTTCCACTTTCCTTGCATCCACAGATTCCTAAGAATTCCTATACAGTTTTAGACAAAGGATCCTTTTTAGGTATAGTGTTCAGTATAATTGTACTGTTTCTCAAGCTAAGCCACTCTGTCACAGGAACACTGGAAAGCCTCCCAAAGACTACTAAATTTTCCAAATTTCATTTAATGAGGAGACACTGATGATTTTATTTGCACAAAAAAGCAGAAAATTTGTTTAGTCTCAATCCTCATTAATTATTAGGTCTAGATTTAAATCAGTTACTATATTTAGAATGAACCAGTAATAGGTAAGTAACTCGAATTCATTAATCAGGAAGCATGTGACATCATCTTCCATCCAAGTAAAAGCTACAGAGTATGATTCTTAAATCACATGTCTTCCTACTTGTTGCAGTATTTTTTAAACTTTTTTTTTTTACTTGAAACTTTTACATGCTGAGAGTGCTGTCTGCTGACAAAACACAGAACTGCAAGCACAAGGTATCAGTCTCCTTTGCACCTTTACATGCAGTTTAGTCTTTCTTTACATCCTATTATTATTGCATATTAGTGTGCTATTTGTTGAGTTGTACTTCGTTCTCACAATGAAGTTGATGATGTAAGTTTCATTGTTATCTTCTATTCCTACTGCCTTCAATAAAGAGTAAGGTTCAAAACTAATGAGTTAATGAAAAAGTATGTGGAGCAAGATGACCATGTTTTCAAATTTCACAAGTTCTTATTGATTTAAGAAGACAATTTCTTGAGCCCTAGGAATTTCTGCTCAGAAACACCAAATGCTCCAGTTATCGATTAACTAGCCTTAAATTCTGTGCTCCTGGCTGTAATGCTAGATTCTGCCTCACATTCAGGCTCTCCTCACATCCTGGCCTTCACTTACAAAAGAGTAGTTTAACCTGCTGTGGATCAAAACTGTGAACAACAGAAGGCTCAAGAATGCTGAGCGATTCCATATGTGCAAGTCCACATCCTAAAACTACTGGAAAGCAATGACAGGTTAAAAGAGACATTTCTCAGGCAGGTAAAGAAATCTAACTGCAAGGTGTTCCTGTGAAA